GGGAAGGAAGTAAAAAAAAATCATAATAATAAAATAATAAAAAAAAAACACTGAGGGAGAAAATGAAGGAAGTTTAGAAAAACAAGAGAGGAGGAAAGTGAAGCTCAGAGAAAAGGGAGAGGAAGAGAGAGAGAGAAGTGAGGAAGTGAGAAGGGAAAGAACAGAAGATGTGAATGGAAAATGAATTTCAGAGAAAGGAGAGAGAGAGAAGTGAGGAAGTAGAAGACAGAAGTTTGGAATGGAAAATGCAAGTTCAGAGAAAGTGAAAGAGAGAGAACGAGGGAATTGAGAGAGGGAGAGAAGAGGAAGATGTGAATAGAAAATAAGTTCAAGAAAAGGAGAGAAAGAAGGAGAAAGTTAAAAAGGGAAGTTTGTGAAATGGAAAATGAAGTTCAAGAAAAGTGAAAAAGAAAATGAGAGAAGGGAGAGAAGTAGGAAGTTATTTGTGAATGGAATATGAAGTTCAGAAAAGAAATTTAAATAAAAAAAGAGAAACCAAGGAAGTAAAAAATCAGAGACCAACTTCACAACTTCAAAACCTTTTTAACGAACACCCAGCTATCACCCTAGCATACAAAATGTCCCGTTTCCTCATACAAAAATGATAAGCCCTTAGAAAAAAAAGACTTCCTACCTTTAAAAATCACCCCCCCCCAAAAAAAAAAAAGACTTCCTTCCTTTGAAAATCACAAAAAAGAGACTTCGTACCTTTGAAAATCACCCCCCCCCCAAAAAAAAAGACTTCCTACCTTTGAAAATCACCAAAAAATAATAATAATAATAATTATTAATACTTCCTACCTTTGAACACACACACACACACACAAATACTTCCTACCTTTGAAAATCACCAAAAAAAAAAGAAAAAAAAAAAAAAAAAACTTCCTACCTTTGAAAATCACCAAAAAAAAAAAAAAATAATAAAAAAAAACTAAAAAAAAAAAAAAATTTACTTCCTACCTTTGAAAAAACCCAACGAAACAACAAAGGAACAGAAATCCATAGGCCTATCTCCTTGCTAGGCCTCACAGAATAGCCTTTTGTGTAGCGTCTGGTCTCAGCGTCTGAAGCCTTGACTAAACTCGTTTATATTCCAGTAT